TACAAGTTATTAACCACTGAAATTGAAGAATTACGAGGCGGCATAACGATGGCAGCGGACTACCAAAGAATTCATCCGGTGGTGGTCGTTCCAGAAGCTCCACCTAGGACGCCTCCAGGTTCTATTCTTCGATCAAACAAAGTTGAGCCCGGGGGACAGGCGCAGCATCAAATTCCATTGAGACGCAACGTCACCTTTTCTGTCGCACCACCACCACCACCTATAAAGAAGAGAAGTTGTTTGTGCAAATGCATCTGCTGGACAATTAGTTTACTCATCCTCCTACTCTTCATTCTTGGAGCTACTATTGGCATTCTTTACCTTGTATTTCAACCCAAGCTTCCCAAATACTCGGTGGACAATCTCAGGATAACGGATTTGACACTCAATTTCGACTTGAGCCTCTACGTGAGGTTCAACGTGCAGATCACTGCCTATAACCCGAATAAGAATATCGGAATATATTACGAGAAAGGGAGCCATTTGAGTGTCTGGTACAAGGACACAAACCTGTGCCAAGGATCAATTCCCAGATTCCACCAAGGGTACCAGAATAAGACAGTGCTGAATGTAGTCTTGAGTGGCCAAAATCAATATGGGAGGACTCTCCTGGAGGCATTGCAGGAGCAGCAACAGACTGGAAGAATTCCACTGGATCTCAAGATTAACGAGCCAGTCAGCATCAAACTTAAGACGCTGAAACTGATGAAGGTTAAGATCGTTGGCACCTGCAAGTTGATCGTTGATAGCCTATCGACTAGTAGTATAATTAGCATCAAAGCCAGTACCTGTAATTTTGGAATCAAGCTCTGAATATCTATCAATCCCTTTTCTTCTGTCTTTTTCTTTCCCTTTTGATGTCTTACTAAGACAATTTTCTCTGCTTCAGTATAAACAGATTACTCGCACAGTGTTTACTTCGTTTTGGAGATCTCTGATCTACATGCTGAAAAGCTAGAATTACATTTAGTGATATGTATTACTTCTAATTTGTTTTCCTGAAATTCATGAAATATGTCATGTTATTGGATCCATATCAAATAAACCTATGCAACTAAATGCTACAAAATTCGCGCAGAGTGAACAAGACTTAAAGATTCGTTCTATATTTTAGAGACGAAGTTTTATTAGCACAAAGTAAAAACATAGAAGGCGACAAGGAGTACTTTGATATAGATATTGGGAGAGTCATACCTCGAAAGCTAGTTGTTGAAGTTGGAGAACCCATTTTTATATAACTACACACCGAAATCCCATACTTTTGTCACCCATGTCGGACTGGCTCTGCATTAGTCCATAACTAGTCCCAAACGAACACTAATATGCCGTGTCACCATCCTTGCCGCTCGATTACAACCAGGAGACAGTGTCTGCACTGATACCATTGATATATATCTTAAGAGAGCCATACCTCAAAAACTAGCTGTTGAAGTTAGAGAACTCAAGTCTATATAAACCACATACCGAAAGCCTATACTTTTGATTTGGGATTCAAGTCCCATACTTTTTAACGGGAATCATGACATGCTTCTACGAATAGAAGAAAAAGGATAAACTGAAACAATTACATTCAGTAACCTACCAAGTTCTATTTGACTGCAAATCCAATAGAGCTAAAAGATAACAAACCAAAAACTTTTTTGCTTGTTGCCCATAATACAAAGATACTACCCTATCTTACAAAGAAATGAAAGTAGGTAATGCTGGTCGAAAAGTGTAGAATACTTACCTGGCTAGATGCACCATGTGATTCCCCAACTCTTCGCAAGGAGATCTCCAGTCAATGAAGAAAGAAAAACTACTGGTTCCTTGATCGTAAATGATAGAACATTCAATGCAGGAATCAAATAGGGATATGATTCACTGCTCTTCCAAATAATAAGAACGTCCATTTGCATAGTCGTTAATGCCAGTCACCAATTAGTACCCGTAGTCTATGTTCTATTACAAACAGAGGCATCCCTGTCTGTGAAACAGCTCTGACGAAAGCCATGTTTGCAGTTATATTGAGTGCATGCCAGTAATCACCAGTACCAAAAACTACCATGTTTTTCAAGGCCAGTTTTCTGGTCGACGGAAGGCTCATTAATCGTGTTGAAGGACAACCAGGCACTACCCTGTCCCAGTTATAAGCAACTCGTTAACAAATAAAGATGAAAAGATCAATAACAATGGCGTCAGCCGTAAAAAATAAAATGCAAATTGGGGGGCAGTAGGAGAAGAAATCATCATAATAGTAGCTTCTTTTCCAAATTATTTTTCTGCATTGCTGTTCTCTTTGTGTTTCAATTTTATGTTTTGAGTTTTGAATTCATTTTGGATTTTATATTTTGAGTGTCCGTTTTCAAATTGTTAAAAATGTGTTCTTTTTGGCATTTTGAAACATTATTTTGAAAACACCCAAAACGCGTTGGAAAATTTTGACTTGATTATAACTGAAAACACTCAAAACGAAAATTTGTCGTTTGAGGTTTTCTTTGTAAATTTTTAATTTGTTTTCAAAAACGCGTTTTCAAAAATGGGAAAGATAACGCGCTTTCACTGTTTCGAAAAATCGAAAACAGAAAACGGCTTGAAAATGGTAGAGAGAACATGCCCTTAGTTTTGAAATTTTGGTTCCTTTATCTTTCCTCTTTGGGAGGAGTTGAAATGGAGAAGTCTACTAGAAAAAAGAACCTGTAAACTTGAAGCGGTGGAAGAACTCACTTAAGGATCTTCAGAAAGTGGTCGTCTCTTGATATCTCATTAGGACCACGACACATTGAGATAAGCTCCTCAAATTCTGAATGAACAATTTCACATATAATTCTTATCTTTCCTGATATTACCCCAGCCAGTTCCTCATGGATCTGGTTCTGGATTTCGGAGTTCATCTAGCAAGAAATTAAATTATAATTCATTTTTCTCTCTCTTCTTCTCAACCATACATTCTACAATGAAATAATATTACACGTAAATTCAAAAACTTTTCCTTTTTTTCTTTTAAACCACACATTCTCCAAAAAATTACTATTCATCTCATTATAATGTGGAATAATGAGAGTCAAACAGATACACATCAAATTTATTTGGCATGGATGACTATTTCAGTGATGAGTATCTCTTAACGACGATTGTAAGACAAATCCTTAACTAAAGATCATCATGGAAATGTTTTAACTAAAGATCCTCATAGAAATGTGTGCACCAGTCATACTTTAGTAGCGTTGGATTTGACTCTACTTGGGGTTTCTAATACAATACTTGTTGTGTATGATGGGAATCATATGAAAATTGATGGATGATCAAGATGGAATTCATCGCTACTGGATAGTAGGGGAATATATCCTGCTACTCATTAACTTGAGTACTGATCCTGAAACCCATTGGTCAATGTATAGTTATGATTTGAAAAGAGATTCAAATACAACTCATTAAATCAATAGTTGAAGGTAACACAGAATATAATTGATCGAATGATTGACACTAATTCTAATACCTTGACCTAAGATACAATTAATGAAGAGATTGTATTTCGCAGTAATGTGATATTTTAGGTCTACTTATGCCGCATGACTTATTCCGTCACATGTAGCATTGACATATTGCTAGATATCAATTTTGAACACCCTAATATGGATATAATGATTAGTTGAATAAATCGATAATAAATTGCACTTTATGTTATCTAATTTGAATGATAATTCATATTGACTCCCATGATTGAGAAGCTGATGTGTCACACACAAAGGATGAGTAGTAGAAGATGAAAGTGGAGATTTGATTAATTGATAGATGAAGAACATTTATGCAATTAATTAATTAGTGCACTATACTATAAAGTCTAATGTTATAAAAATTGAACCGACCGGTTGTTCTTCTCTAATTACAACCCTCATCCACTGATATTTTATTATTTATTTTTTGAGTTAATTAATTATTCTTCTATCTTATTTTAATTAATTAACATTAAAAACTCTTCAAATATTTCAATTAATAATGTTATACTTTTATCCAATATTGTTTACTATTTGAAAAGCGGTTCAACCTTAGTTTGACCCTGTAACCCTTAACCCTTTCACTTGTTCGGATCAATTTTTGGTCCAGACTTTAAAAATTGCTATTTACTAATTGGTCGAAATTATTTAATATGATCAACTAATGTTGAATTTAGTTAATTGGTTAAAATCTCTGGGAAATGCTATATGTACATAGCATGTTCCATAATGGTGTCCATAATGGACACATGGAAGTTTCCTATTGGGGAGGTGCCTGTGGGCCCAGGCACCACTCCAATAAGGGGTCTCCATGTGTCCATTATGGACACTCTTATGTATTGTGCTATGTACCTATAGCACAACCCAAAATCTCTTGATATGCTCAATCATTTTAGAACTTTTATTATGGAGTAGGATTATTAGTCTATCCTAATAGGATTACTAGGATTGAAAGAATATGAATTTCTGCTAGCACAAAATAGATTCTTAAATTAGGGGTGGACAAAAAAATTGAAAAATCAACCAAACCAAACCAAGTCGGGTTGGTTTGAAAAAAGGGAAAAATTCGTGGATCAGTTACTCTCTATCATGAAATAAAAAATCAGACCCCAAGTTTTAGAATTGCAAAAATAGGTTTTTTCATGAATTAATTAATTATAATTTTACAATTATTATATTAAATTAAATATTTAACAGTAATATAATATAATTAACCCACCTCACCTCCACCACCTCTACCGCTCCGACGACTACTTCGACGAATGTTCCCCGGTCTATATTAAATTAAATATTTAACTGTAATATAATATAATTAACCCATCTTACCTCCACCACCTCTACTGCTCCGGCGACTACTTCGGCAAATGTTCCCTTGTCGCACTTAATTCAGGCGACTATTCCGGTGACCGTTCACCACCACTTAATTTCGGTAACTGCTCCGATTCCGAGGTTACAGATTTAAATTTCGGTCACAACTTATCAAATTAATTGGTCACAGATTATTTCGAGGTCACAAATAAAAAAAATTTATAGGTCACAATTTGTAACGACCCGGGTCCCACTTAACGGGCTGTCTGACCGTTAGATCGACGATGTATTGTCCCCACTGTACCACCATGGATCTTTTCAGCATGTTTTATCCTCACTTGCACGCTCCACAAGAAAACTTTCCAGGGGGTCACCCATCATAGAATTACTCCAAACCAAGCACGCTTAACTACAGAGTTTCTAATGATGGACTTCCGGAAAAGAAGGTGCACCTTACTAGTATGAGTAGTACCTATCAAATCTTTTAAGATTTCCTGGTCTAGGTATTACAATCACCCCCCGTTAGACTCGCGACGTCCTCGTCGCGCTTGGTCCATTTGAGGATCTGTTGCTGACGTTGGGATTCTAGAGGTGGCTCCTACGAGTTCAAGAGGTGGTTCCCGCCCTATGGCGTAGCACTTAGTCCCGCATAATACTTAGTTCCTGATTTTCGGCTGGTAGCCGGGCTCTGATACCATTCTGTAACGACCTAAATCTTGAATGTAACTAAATATGAATTGTTACCAAAAGCTTTAGTTAAATTGTACTGGTTGATATGCCACCTTTATTTAAATTTTATACAAGATTAAAACAAATCAACCTATTGTCTAATTATTAAAGAATAAATTATTGTCAACAGTAGTGAGTCAACATCTTGTTATTTATTGCATTTATTAGCTAAAAGTTAACAGAACAACGCGTTTTTTGTAACGACCCGACCTTGCGCCGGAATCGTCATCATATCATACGTACTGTCCACTTTAGGAGAGTTTAGGCCCATTTTACCCCTCACGGCTTTCGACGCGTCCCTAGGATTAAAACTCAAAACCTCCATCATATGGAGGTCATTTCGGCACAAGGTCGGGTCGTTACACAATTGACTTCATTAGTCACTGATAAAAAAATTATAGGTAACAGATTTTTAATTGGTCATAAGTTAAAAAAATTGTAGATAACAGAAATCACATATTTCCAAATAACAGGTCACAGATTAATGAATTTTAAGGTCATGGGACCATATAGTTGGTCACATACACCCAAAGACATGTCCCCCAATCCCAGTACACCACCAATACTTGGTTATAGGTCACAGATCGAAATAGTTGGTCACATATACCCAAACACCCGTCCCCCAATCTTAGTACACCACCATTGCTGCCTGTACCACCACAACAAGAAAACCACCACCACCGCTATCGACCCTGCCACATACCCACAACTAGTCTGTTACACACACATACCCGCATCCAAATCTCTTGCTTCTTCTTCTTCTTGCCGCAGCCAAACCTCTACCCCAACCCAACCAATGCCTCACGTACAACAGTCTCCAGCCCACACTGCAACAACACAAACCATAACATGCAAATCATCCGCCACAGTTATCTCCCACCAGGTTTTGTATTCTACAAATGTTGATAGATGGCACCCAATGGATTTGATTGGAAAGTAGGATGGTTAATAACTATCTTCAATTGATTGCTCGATTTGAAAATCAGATGAGTGCTTGAGCCACTAAAATCCATTCATCCTCTCCCTGAAATTATCAAGACTATTGCTGTTTGGTGGGCTATACTAAAAAGAAATGCATTTATTGACGTTCACAAAGAACTTTTGTAACCTCCAATCCCAGGGATTCAATCTTGGCACGCAACTCCACATCTTCTTGATTTGTTAATGATTCCACCTACTGGTGAACGCCAGGGAGGGAGGGAGAAGGGGAGGAGCCGAGGAGGCGGCGGGCAGTGGTGGTGGATGAATCGCGGAGAGAAAGGTGGTGGCGGTGACGGTGGAGGTGGCCGGCGGTGGAGTGGAGAGAAATGAAATGGATTAGGACAGGGTTTGGATATGGTTTTATATTTAAAATAAATTTGGTGGGGTTACGTAGTAGGGTGGATATATATATTATTGTAATTTTATAATATCATTATTAATTAAAATGATAAAAACCTGAAAATTGAATAAATAAAGTATAAACCTGATTTTTAAATATGTCAAACTAAATGCCTGGTTTTATTCAATTTTCCCTTAAAAAAATCGGTTTGGTTCGATTAATTTTAACCATTAAAAAGTTAGTTCGGGTAGATTGCGGTTTAAACAACCAACTCGTCAATTAAACGACCCAACCCATTAGTACTTTTTTTTAAAAAAATGATATTTTTAAACTTAAAAAAGAAAATAATTAAAACAAAAATATAATACGTATTATGGAAGCAAATTTTTTTTTTTTTTTTATATATATAGGCAAATAAAAATTTTAATTCAAAATAGGTGGACAATTTTTTAAACTGGGATAAACATTCAAATCGAATTTGGTTTGGTTTGGTTTCAACAATTGAATTGAGTTGATTTGGGTTGAAACTTACCCAAATCAACCAAATTGGTTTCGATTTCGAATTGAGCAAAAAATCATCGTAACTAGAATCATGCCCAGGCCTACTTAAAATCCTAGTTTTGGTCTGCCTCATGGTTCCTACCTTCCTATTGTAGAAATTTTCATCGGTAAATATTCCGGATGAATTTTTGGTTAGGGACGAAATACTTGGACGCTTGCTTTAGATTTAAATTCGAAATAAAGGAATTATCATTTAAATTACTGCATTAAATAATAATCAGTACTATAAAATTTGATCTTTAAAAGAGAAATCAATTTACATTATCAGAATCGTTGAAAGGTAACAATTTCTCAACACAACAGCCCTAAATCAAACGTGGAACATAAATAGAGCCGCAATATCTCGTTTCTAAGCTCTTTAAAAATAAGTTGTAGATTTTTGTGACTCCCTCCAGTAACGACTCTACTCAAAGCAGCTGGGTGCTGAATCTTGTTCGAGCCTATAATTTTCCGGTGAATTCTCAGTTACCCATATAATGGATGGTGGAGGAGAGGAATCCATAGAGGCGGTGGCGGCCGCGCGGCGAGAAAGGCTGAGAGCTCTTAAAGCGGCTCAGGAACTCCTAAATACCCCAGATACAGATGCTGAAAATGACAAATATAATCAAGAACAACAAGAGGAAGAAGAGGAAGAGTAATTTTCTCATGGCCCTATATTTCTTTCTTTTTTTTTGAGACGAAAGAGTTTCTCTTTTTCGTTTGTTCTTTCCATTCATCTAACTAGAAACTTAAAATGAAATTAATTTAATTCAAAAAGGGTTCTGTTACAGTGTGTTCATCTGTCTTGTTATGGATTGATATTTAACACAATAATTAACTACTGGGTGCTGAAATATAGTATTTTCTGATGAAATTGTGGATGATAATCTATAATTAGGTGATGAATTGATGGAAGAAGTTGCTTACAGGCAGTAAATGTAGGCCTTTCTTTGATTTAGTTTAAGATAATATTATGAACCTAGTCTAAGATTATTCTGCGGGTCTCTAAAATTATATAATTTTAATTGGTTTCATAATTAGTTGCTAACTTGCTGTTGAGTTTAAACACCAAAAGAAAATGATTTTATTAATGTTAATTACTTACACAATTTGGATAAACACACCAGGACTAATTTTCTCCGCTCACTATCTCACGCACACTTCACACACAGCACTTCACTCTTTCTTGCTGCTTCTCTTTCTCACTCCATTTCTCTGCACACGTACTCTGTTTACTCACACTCCTCTTTTCCTGCCTAAAATGCAAAAGGTGAACACATATTTATAGGAGGCAAAGTTGGTGCATATAATTCTAGAGTTTTCTTATTGTGACGGTGATGAATGTCGGTGGGCATCTTTCCAAAATTTCTCTAGATTATTCTTGCTTTGGCGGTTGAATATTTAAATTTCCAGCAGCTTCTAGTATGTCGGCAAAAATTGGCAATGGGCGGTGATTTTTTTCAATTCTCCCCTTCAGCACCAACTCATTGGTGTAATTCTTCTCTTCTTATTATACCCAATTTTGTTCGAAAGTCTTTGAATTTTGAAGCGCCGAGTCCTTTTGTTAAAACGTCTGTGATTTGTTCTTCAGTATTGACATGATTCAGGTCAATATCTTCTTTAAGAACCTTTTCTCTGACGAAGTGATAGTGTACTTTGAAGTGGTTTGTTCTTACATGACACGCTAAATTTTCTGCTACGCAAATAGAGGATTGATTATCGCAATATAGTTTCACTGCATAACTTACTAATTGATGTAAATCCTTCATTAATTGCATTAACCATGTACTCTTTTGAGCTGTCATCGCTGCTGCTCTATATTTCGCCTTTGCTGTTGACAAAGACACGGTTGGTTGTCTCTTAATGCACCATGATACTACGGTTGACCCAAGACTAAACATTTACCCAGTTGTTGATTTTCGAGTCTCGACATCCAACATAGTATGCATCACAATAGCCAATAACCTTGCAATATTTGTTTTTCTTATAAAATAGTCAATAATCAATTGTTCCTTTTATGTACCTTAAAGATTCGTCGCACTACTTCAAGACGTGGCTTCTTGGATTTTTCCATAAAGTGGCTTGCTATCCCAATTGCATATGCAATGTCGGGTCTTGTCAGTGTTAGGTAGATTAAGCTTCCTACTAGTTGTCGATACATGGTCGTATTCTCCAAATCCTTGCCTTTATCTACACATAGCTTGGAGTTAATCTTGATTGGTGACTTGGTGTTGATATTAGTTTGCAATCGATCATCCTAAACTTTTGTACGATATCTCGGGCGTACTTATGCTGGCACAAGAATAACCCATTTGTTCTTTCCATCTCGAGTCCCAGAAAATGATTTAGCTCTCCAAGCTCTTTCATTTGGAATCTCACTGATAGATTCCTTCTGGTTCGCTGGATTTAATCTTCATTGTCTTCAGTGATAATATGATCATCCACGTATACTAGTACTATTGTTAATTTTCCATTTTGTGCTTTGACGAATAAGCTCGAATCTGTTGGTGCTACCGAGTATTCGCTTTGAACTAAAAATTGAGCTATCTTACCTTACAATGCTCGTGGTGTCTGCTTTAACCAATAGAGAGCCTTCTTTGACTTGCAAACATGTCCTGACTTTTCTTTATTCTCGAATCCTTTTGGTTGCGCCATTTGTATGTCTCGATCAAGTTTTCCATGGAGAAACGTATTCTACACATCCATCTAGAGGTGTCAATTCGGGTGGTCCGGGCCGGGTCGGGTCGGCCCGCCAACATATGAGCCCGGTAACGGCCCGCGTGAAAAAAAGCCCACCCTCTACGGGTTTCGAGTCGGCCCACAAATTTTGGAATACAACCTAGGCCCGTCCGCTGACCCATTCAGGTCGAGCCCATGCGGGTCACGGGTTGCTCGGGTCGCGGTTTGTTTCGATTTTGCTCGTATTATTGTATAAATAAAATTATAAAAATATAGATTTTTCATATTTATAGCAAAAAATATTTTTTTTGTTAAATGTAAACTAAGAATTGAACAAAATGATAAATTCATATTTATACCTAGAAATGTTTACATAGAATTCAAATTTAATGTTACATAAATTATTTATAACTTTGCAAAGTTAAATTTAACTTAAACAAATAACAATTAAATGCATTTCTAATTACTATTATCAAACATTTATAGTATAATTACATCCCAACTAGGTTGACACCTAGTTTTATTATAATTTATAGTTTAAGTACATCCCAACTAGGTGACATCTACTTAAGTCTTAACTATAATTTAGTTGTTAAAAAATTATATATTTTCATATTTGTATATCCCCATTTCAATTATTTACTTTTATATATTTGTTCAAAAATTATATATTTCAAATTAAATTTTTTTTTTCACGGGCAGCGGGTTAACCGCGGCCCCTGAAGGTGCAACCCGCGAAGCCCGCGGGTCACACCTCCTTGACCCGTGAACCGCCCGCGGTTCGGGGTCCATTCGGGCCGGTTTTCACGGGTCTGGCCGGCCCGTCCGTCTTGACACCTCTACATCCATCTGCCACAATTTCGAGGACTTGTTCTCTACTAAAGCTATAAGTACTCATATTGTAGTTATCTTTGCTAGTGGGCAAAAAAAAATGTCTCATCATAGTCCAGACCATATTGCTGTGAGAATCCAAGAACTACTAGCCGGGCCTTGTATCTTTCAATTGATCTGTCAAACGTCTCTTTACTTTGTAGTCCCATTTGCAGGATATAGGCTTTACTCCATTAGGTATTGGCATTAAATCCCAATTCTCATTTTGCCTTAGAGCCATAAACTCTTCTTCCATTGGCTTTCTCCACTCCTTGTGTTGGATCGCTTCTTCAAAGGTTTCGACTCTTTGGCACTATTGTCATCTTCTACTACCGTGTTAGCAAACTTGGGGTTTGGTTTTCTCCGTCTAGTTGATTTTCTCAACTGTATTTATGGGCTCGTTCGACCTCAACCTCCTCTTGTTGACTCGGCCGTATATTCCTCTCTGATGCACACCCGTTTACCAAGGACTTTGTATTGTGCCAGTAGATTTCTTCTCATCACTTGATTCTTGTGCATCTTTTATTTCCTAAGTTCTTCATTGTGCTTCTGGGATCCCCTCTTACAATTTGTCGTCCATTTCCTTTGAATCTAGTAGTTCCACCCTCTGCGATGTTCACCATGAAGATGTTTTATCAAACCCTACGCTCCTTGACGTGTAACAACGATCGGTTGTAGGATCACATCATCTCTATCCTTTTCTTTTACTCTCATATCCCACAAATATATACCTGGTTGCTTTTTTATCAAACTTGCTCCTTAAGTGATCAACACAAACACATAACAGACCAGCCGAAGACACTAAATTGACTTATTGTTGGCTTCATTTTCCATAGTTTCTCAGAAGATGATGTAAACCCCAACTTTGATTATGGTAGCCTATTGGTGACATGTGCTAGTCCTCATACACTCAGCCTAAAACCTTCCGGCACATTCTTTGCGTGTAATATACTTCGACATGTTTCTGCAAGGTGTTGAGTATTTCTTTCTGCTACATCATTTTGTTGTGGTGTTTGGACATGTCAATTGATGGTGTATCTTATGTTCTCTTTAAGTACTGGGAAAATTCTCCTAATGTATACTCTCCCCCATTATCTTCCGACTTCTCCTCCTACTTTTTCCTTAAAATCCTTTAACTTTAATAAATGTCTTCGATTTTTCTTTCATAAAGAAAACCCAAACGTACCTTGAGAAGTCATCGATGAATGTCACCATGTAGCGCATCCCTCGATTTGATGGTTGCTTGACAAGTCCAAATACATCGGAGTGTATCATCTCCAATGGTTACTTTGCTTTATAACTTGACTCTTAGATACTATAGTTGATGTGCTTTACCATATTGACAGGCAGTACATGCCATGTCATCTCTGATCTTGAGTTAAGAGAGACCTTTGAGCATCGACTTCTTCATCATCACCTTCAGCTTGTGATAACTTACATGTCCTAGTTTTGCATGCATAAATCTGCTGCTGTCTCGTTCTTTCGAGTCTTATCTATGTATGCAGAGTCTGCTGACATGACGTAGATGGACTCTAATCTTTGTCCCTCCATTATTAGTGTGCTTGAAATTTTGATACACGTTGACATCTTTTGGTCCAAATAGAACATAGTTACCTGATGATGTTAGTTGAGCCATTGATAGGAAATTTTTCTTCATTCTTGGGACGTGATAGACATCTTGTAACTGCAACTGACTAGGAATGAAACGAGGTGTGATAATTGTCTTACCAATGTGGGCTATTGGCAATCTTGAGTTGTTGGCAGTTACCACCATCTGACCTCCTTTGTACTCCATTGTATTTTGCAACTTCTCTTTATCGCATGTCATGTGTAGTTTTGATTATTGAGCTTTCTCATTCAGCCTACCACTTATAGGTCGCCCATCGTGATTTAATTTACCTCCTCGTAATCAAGCTAGCTTTAATAAAGTTCCACAATCTCACTTTGTGCAAAAACTTCAGAAGCTCAAAAATTCGTCCTTGACTGCCTTGCTCTAATACCAAATTGTTGAGTTTAAATATCAAAAGAAAATGATTTTATTAATATTAATTACTTACACAATTTGGACAAACACGCCACTAGGACTAATTTTCTCCGCTCACTATCTCACACACACTTCACACAGCACTTCACTCTTTCTTGCTGCTTCTCTTTCTCACTTTATTTCTCTGCACACACTCTCTTCACTCATAATCTTCTCTTTTCCTGCCTAAAATGCAAAAGGTGAACACATATTTATAGGAGGCAAAGTCGGTGCATATAATTCTAGAATTTTCTCATTGTGACGGTGGTGAATGTCGGTGGGCAGCTTTCCAAAATTTCTCTAGATTATTCTTGCTTTGGCGGTTGAATATTTAAATTTCCAGCAGCTTCTAGTATGTCGGCAAACATTGGCAATGGGTGATGATGTTTATTCAGTTGCTCTTGTCAACTTAATAGATTTCTAATGGGAATTTGATTTGGTTTCTTTTTAAGACCTTTATAGGGTGTAGAAATGGGAGTTAGTAGATTTTAAGGGGATGAAATGTATTGTAAAATTTTGATTCATGGGTTTGGATCAATCAAGGGCGAAACATCTTAAAATTATTTTATTTTGCTTCTTTGCTGAAGTATTGACATCAAGAATATCCATAAGATTTTTCCGAGGATTGATGTAATTTGGTTTTTAACTCACACCACTGAAGTAACGTGCACTCACCTTGTGTTGCTAATTAATTTTACATCATGCTAAATACCTCTTTGCAAGAGTTGCTGGTTAAAATTAAATTTTATCACTTGTAATGATGAGCATGTAGTTGGATTTAAATTTTAACATCCTCATTACAAGAAGCTTCGTCATTTTGATAAACAAAAATAAATTACTTTTTGCAGAAATGCCAATATGAAATTCCGAAATTATCTTCCTCATGACAAGCAACTTCAAGAGGGCAAACTTGCCCCACCAATACTACCAAAATTTGAAGATCCCGTTCTCATGGCACCTCCACCGGAAGAGAAGAAAGAGGTGGGTTATTGACTTATAAACTTGTATGACATTTCCTTTTCGTTAAGAATAATAATTCTTGTGTGATAATAAGTTTTGGGAGCATTCAGGATCCATTTCTAAACATTG